GGGGGTATGGGAAATGGGGCATGACATAGGCCATGAAATGGGAATAGGAAATTGCATACAGACAAGGGATGGTACGCACTTGCTGGATGGCAGCGCTTGTCTTCTAGTGTGTCCTGTTCCTCGGCATGTAGTGCATGCCACTCCTTCCCACCCGTTGCATCCCTCACACTCCCTGTGTGTGGCACGGCATGGCATGGAAAAGGCACAGCACGGATTAAAAAAGGTATGTGGGCATGGCATGGCATGGCATGGCATGGTGGCATGGAATAAGCCTAGCACGGCATGGCATGCACACGGAGAGTGAGACAGTATAAAGGACGAAAACGAGGGAAAGGATTCACACGACTGCAACAGCAACTCTTAATTCCAGCCTTCCAGCCCATCCCATTTCAACCCAGAATCCAACTTGCCCAGTCCCTCCCACGCCATCCTACGTGGCGTGGCATCAACTTACCTAGCAACGTCCTATGTGGCACCATCCTACCTGGCATCGTCTTACGTGGCACCATCCTACCTGGCGCCATATAACCGAGCGACGAAGTCAGTGGTGATGGCTGCTGTGCCCGCTGCTGCTACTGCCTGCAGTTACAGTGGAGGGGGTTCAGGGTTTGCAGGACTGAAAGCTATCGCTGACAGAACTTCCAGTTTCAGTGACCGAAATCTCATCCGAAATGCGTATACCGAAGTGTAACTTCCTGGCAATGATTCCGTTCGATAGTGTCACACGGCTGATTCCTTTCCGGCGTCAGGGGAAGCTGGCAAGGAGGAACCTCGAGGAAATCGGAATGAGAGCACGAGAAAAGCGGACCTGACAGGAAGGAAACCCTACGTCCACGGAGGAACAGACATTGCGAGACAGAACGGCATGAACGGAAAACGGCTCGGTAGGAATGGGTAACAGCACAGTCGGAACGGGAAAAAGGTTCAGGAACGGGAAATGGGTAAGCTGGTCGGCTTACGAAGCATCCGAAGCTGGCGATGCTGGTAACCGCCCTGGGAATGCCGAGGCCCGTTCGCAGCGCCTCCTGCGACTCGGTGCGCAGCTCGAAAACGAGCTCCTGCGCGAATTGCGCCGCGGCTTGCGCGGCGCCCTGCACCTGCTGAACTGCGCGGGCGATAGGAGGCGGCACCATGGCGAGTGTACGGCAGGTTAGGTTGGTCTCGAGGCGCCGGAAACCACCCGTGTGGCCTTCGGAAATGAGCGAAAAAGAAAGCTAGTCGTTCCTTGCTGTAATGTCCAAACCTAGGGTGTTATAAGTTGTCAAAGAAGAGAGTGCGCAGATGCAATATCGAGGAAGTGATTACAATTACTCAAAGGTTCATATGCGCTGAAACAGTAAAAACACGGGCGAGTTCATACACACACAGAACATTCCGACAGCAAACCCAGCCACATGCTACTGTCCTGTACCGAGTTCGTTTCTTCAGAGGGACCCCCTCGATTGCAATTTTGGGATCTAACAACTAGGTTTCTGCGTCAACTGATCGTCTGCACGTATTCTATTCGCTTTAGCCAGCGATGGCTGCTCTAGACCTTGAGGCTCTAAAGAGTTACGTACGAGATGGTCCCACGGGTTCCAGCGCCCTTGCTGCTCCGAACGACGGCGACACCGTGTCTCTGCTCGTAACGCACAGTCATCTGAAGCGGCAATTCATTGACATGAAGTTCTCGCTAAGTGCAAGTTCACCGAGTCGCTCCCCTTCATCAGCAGACCTATTCGTCATTTGTTTCCTTGACGTGTTATTCTTGTGTGATAGTTTGAATTTGCACGTTGAGGCGAAATATCTTTACGTCGTTCCATTATCTGAGAAAAGTACCCGTTTGAATTCATAGATACGTACAATCCGTGCTGTTCTCTCTCTGAGCAGAGCTCTGTAGAGCGCGTGAAGGAGCAGCTTCAGGTGCACACCGGGACAGCCGTGTCAGCCATGCAGCTGCAGCTTTTCAGTGCTTCCAGCAAGTCGTCAGAAACAGACACATTGTTACATTCAGGACTCGAGGACATTCGACTGCTGGGATACTACTCCCCTCAAAACGGGTACTCTTCATGACCCGAAGCTATTACTGGCCTTTCAAGTGATTCTCCTGACGATGGAAGTGATTTTATTGAGAAACGCCCAATCTCTTATTTGAAATTGAATTTCCTTTTTGTTTTGGACAGGTACCGTCTCCACGTGATTGACACTGATCCCACCTCAGCAGCTGCCTCTGGATGGCTGGACGACACGTCCTTGGTGGAGAAATACACGATTTCTGAAGAAGATTATGAAAAACGAGATGGTAAATGATGCGGAATCCATCTTTCCACGAGCAACGTCTGACAATGTTTCACTGTCAGGAACTCACACTTCAACACATGTCTAACAGATTCTGCTCGGAGGTTCAAGCAACAACTGTATACTGCACGGCCTGACCTTGCCCCTCAGCCTGTAAGCTCGATCTTCCTTCCTGCTGTTGGCCTTCTCTCGTCCAAAATCAAATCTCCTGATGTTTCAGATATCAATTATGGACCTTGAAACGTTATGGTTTCCACATTTCAGGGTACTTCTGCGGACTTCATGGCTGACATTGCAGAAACCATAAAGGTGTCGAATTTCTCTCAAATGGCGCATCAAGTGTGCCCCATACCAGCATTCTGTTTTTCGTGTCACACAATCTGGTTCTTGAAATCCTCACCTTCATTGTTCTTGTTTTCAACTCTGAGTCAGCTGTCTGCTTGCAGGTTGGCGACAGATGTGAGGTGGACCCAGGCGGCAAGAGAGGAAGCGTTGCCTTTGTGGGCACTGTAGATGTTCTTCCTAATGGATTCTGGGTGGGAGTGAAGTTCGATGAGCCTGTGGGGGTCAATGATGGAAGGTGCGTATATTTTTTTATTTTATTTTATTTTCGTTGAGCTTTTATTATTCCACCCTTCTCTTTCAGCTTCTCTTTTTCTCTCTTCTGTGTTGCTGCGTTATCATGCCCAGCATTCTAATGCAGGCCGCATAGCTTGCATTGTGGCTTCTTTTGTCTCTGCTTGCAGTGTGGAGGGTAAGAAGGTCTTTCATTGTGAGCGCAATTACGGCTCTTTTCTGCGGCCAGACAAAGTCAAAGTGAGAGGGGCTAGTTGCCTTTTAACCCAGTAATTTCCCCTTCTTCCAGAGTGCAATTTGGTTCTGACTCCACCTTCTGCCTTGGCAGATTGGAGAATACCCTGAAAGAGATCCGTTTGACGATGACGAGCCTGATGAGTTTTAATGACATAATATATACCGTTTGTCGTAGCAGGCTAATCACATGTCATGCTTTCAGCGATGGAAAGAAAACGGTGTAGCTTATTTGAGTAGTTAAACCTTTTGCCCAGCTACTTTGTAGTTTCAACCTCTACTTTTGTCGCAACATATTGAAGTGTGGCCAAATTTTCCGACCTTTCCTCACCGCAGGCATAAAAAATGTTTGTGGTATGCTGCGTGGTTCATCGTCCCGTCCAGTCATGTTCGAGGCAGGGCTGACGTTTCAGATGTTTCGCGAGCGAATCTCGAAAGTACCTACTTTGTGGGAGAGCCGTGTTGTGTGGTGCAAGCAAACTCAGATTCGATGCTACCTCTACGATAACCTGAAACATCCGTGTGCCATAAGAACACATGCTGAAAACGTATGTTTCCCGTCGTGAACGTAGCTCCTGAAAAACAAACCCCCCCGCAACTCTGACGATACCCCGACGTGACTTTCTGAAGCACCAATTTTTGAGATGTCGTGCACTGCATTCCCGGCATCCACGCCCTTCTCGCTCCTTGTCCCGCCATCCGCTCGACACTGCTCCGTTCAATCGGTCGTGCCTGCGTTACTCCATAACCCTGTTCTTCGCCAGCCAGCCGCAAGCCTTGACTCTCCTCAGCCTCACCCCTCACCCGCGTCTTCCAGCTTTCCTTCTCGTCTATTCCCTTCCTGTACTCCCTCTGTCCGTGCTTCCTCACTTCATGGAAACCCACCGAACCTGACGCCACTGTATCGACTCAGTAGGCTCGAGGCATCCGAACGTGCAGTGGCCGTGTATCATGAAACCAATGCGTCTGCCAGGTCAGCACGGTTGGATTCCAATACCACTGGATTGAGAAGCGACCTACCTGAGGGCTCAAGGGAAGAGAGATTCGTCGGGAGTTCGGAGAGTAGATCGGTAGAGTACGATAGCAGCGATGACCAGGAGATACAGTTCGCGGGTGCCCTCAGCGATAGTGCTTGCAGCGACGGTGATTATACCAGCGAGAGTGATAATGACACGATCGGGGATACGGCAGTCGGGGTTTACGCAGAGAAACTAGTCTGCTTGGTCAGACCTGAGGCCCCTGTAATTGCGAATCTGCAAAAAGGAGACGGAGATTCCAGCTCTTCTCTCACGAGCCCAGAGCATCCGGTAGCATCAACGCGCGACTCTCAAAGAGCAGCAGCGGGAGCGCCAGCAATTGCAGCAGCATCTGAAACAAGTGAATCTGATAAGCTTATGGCAATCCGACGGCCTAGAATGCTCCGTCCAGTGCCTGTATCTGCATCTGTCGAATTGAAGGCCAAAGGCTTTCAAGATACGCGGGTGTTTCGCAGAAAAGGGCGCATTTCGCAGAAACAATCAGACCAAGCAGCGTTGTCCTCAGCAGCAACACCAACACCAGCCACACCACCACCAACCCCATCGTTACAAGCAGCCAAACCAGCACGACCACTATCAGCGATACCGCCGTCCCCTCCCTCCTCTTTCTTTACCTCCTCCTCCTCCTCCTCCTCCTCCTCCTCCTCCTCCTCCTCCTCCTCCTCCTCCTCCTCCTCCTCCTCCTCCTCACCCTCCTCCTCCTCCTCACCCTCCTCCTCCTCCTCCTCCTCCTCCTCCTCCTCCTCCTCCTCCTCCTCCTCCTCCTCCTCCTCCTCCTCCTCCTCCTCCTCCACCCCCCCTACCCCTCGCCCGCTGCAGTCGACAGTGTGGATGAACAAGGCGGCGCCCAGAGCCCCCCGGCACAGAGCAGACAGGATGGCGAACCGAATCCCCGTCAGCGACCGCGTGCTACAGGCGATTGTGACTATACAGAGGGCCAGGCGAGTGGCTGGAGAAGGCGCCAGGGGAGGCCAGGGAGGTATAAGGGGTGTAGAGAGTCAGCAAAGTCAAGCAAGTCAACGGAGCCATGGTGGAGGGGCGGATGGGAGGGTGCGTGGCGGGGCCGGGGGGGGGTCGCTGAAGGCCGTGGTGGCAGAGGTGGCGGCGGCGCTGGAGAAGCGCGAGGTGGAGGAGGTCATGACGGAGCTGCAGCGCCGCCACGACTGGAAGGCCACCCTCGAGGTGACGTGACGCACACTGTTGGGGCATCGTGTATGAACACTGTTGGGGCGCCTCCTCTAGTTCAATCTCGCTGCTCCAATGAGAATGACGGCCAGGGCGCAACCGCAGCAACCCCTGCCCCTTTCCTCCGCTCCCCATCCCTTCTCCTTCCGAAGGCGCATCTCTATCGTGGGGGCTTCTTAGCCACCCGGTGGCGTCTCCTTTATCCTCACCTCCTCCCCTTCCTCCCTGCCCTCCGCCCCTCTCCGATCCGGCAGGTGTTCGCGTGGAGCCAGCAGCAGGCGTGGTTCCGCCCCAACATGCGGCTGTACAACGCGCTCATGGGCTTCCTGGCGAGGGAGCAGCAGGCGCACGCCGCCACGCTGCTCTTCCAGGACATGCTGCTGTCGCGCGCGCGCCCAACCACTTCACCTACACCGCACTCATCAACGCGTACGGCCGCGCCGGGTGGTTCGAGGACGCCCTCGCTGTCTTCCACCACATGAAGACGTGCGATGATGATGACGACTGCCGGTGAGGGGAAGGCACTGAGGGTGAGGGGAAGGCACTGAGGGTGAGGGGAAGGCAATGAGGGTGAGGGGAAGGCACTGAGGGTGAGGGGAAGGCAATGAGGGTGAGGGGAAGGCACTGAGGGTGAGGGGAAGGCACTGCGGGTGAGGGGAAGGCACTGCGGGTGAGGGGAAGGCACTGCGGGTGAGGGGAAGGCACTGAGGGGAAGGCACTGAGGGGAAGGCACTGAGGGGAAAGCACTGAGGGTTATTTGAGAATTCTCAAAAAACGGACGCCCTCGCTGTCTTCCACCACATGAAGACGTGCGATGATGATGACTGCCGGTGAGGGGAAGGGGGACCAATGAGGGTTACCATACCACCACGGTGTGCCATGCCATGATCACATTCATCAAGGAACACGTCGCTCGCAAACGGTCGGGCCATGTCGGACTGGGTGCCGACGCCTGTGACGACGACGCCGCGGAGCTCCCTTCGGCATCCCAAGCAGTCGGTGTCGCCGACACCAGAGGAGAGGCCGGAGGCGGCGTCGACAAGGCAGATGAAGAGGCAGGAAGGGCGGTGGCGCGGACCGCGGATCAGGAAGAGGAGGAGGAGGAGGAGGAGGAGGATGGCACCGATGATCATGATGATAACGAGGAGGAGCGTGAGGAGCGTGAGCAGGGGCAGGAGAAGGACGAGGAGGAGGAGGAGGAGGAGGAGGAGGAGGAGGAGGAGGAGGAGGAGGAGGAGGAGGAGGAGGAGGAGGAGGAGGAGGAGGAGGAGGAGGACACCGAGGATCAGGATGATAACGAGGAGGAGCGTGAGGAGCGTGAAACGAGGATCTTGTCCATGCTGGTCGCCCTTCGACGGTCGGCGCCGGTCAGGCGATCCATCCTCTTCACCACCCAGCACAGCGCGCTCATTGATAGGAGGCCAGAGCCCGCGTCGCTGTCCCGGACGGTGTCGCGCACTTTCTGCACGCAACAGTCCAGGGCATACAACACATTCTGCATCATTCCGAAGTCGGCAATGGCATCGCGCAAGGACGGTAAAACGATCGGAACTCACATCTCGAACGGCTTCATCGCAGTCGGCGAGCCTGTCCTCCCCCTTCCCCAAACCACCTGTGCAACTCACTGTACAACCTCTCGACCCCTTGCTGCAGGGTGTTTTTGAGAATTCTCAAAAACACCCTCCACGGTGTGCCATGCCATGCCCCTCCCCTCCACATCCAACCCCTTCCCCAAACCGCCTGTGCAACTCACTGTACAACCTCTCCACCCCTTGCCGCCATTCTGCCATCCCATCCCACCCGCCCAGGCCCAACACAGTGACCTGCAACGCGCTGATTGGTGCGCTGTGCAAGGGGGGCATGTATGACGAGGCGGTGGAGGTGTTCATGGAGATGCGTGCGGGGGCGGGCGGGGCGGGCGGCTTGCCACTCAACTGCAGGTCAGCCACGTGATAACAGTAGAGTTTTGAGACGTGTCAAAGCTCTACTGTTAGCAAGGGGGGCATGTATGACGAGGCGGTGGAGGTGTTCATGGACATGCGTGCTGGGGCGGGCGGGGCGGGCGGCCTGCCACTCAACTGAGGTCAGCTTTTGAGTCGACTCAAAAGGGGCATGTATGACGGGGCTGTGGAGGTGTTCATGGACATGCGTGCGGGGGCGGGCGGCCTGCCACTCAACTGCAGGTCAGCCGTGCCGTGCCGTGCCGTGCAGTGCCGTGCCGTGCCGTGCAGTGCCGTGCCGTGCTGGGCCCACAGTGGGTGGGTAGCTGCAGAAAAGAAGAACCATTGTGGGCGTGTACGCTTATGCAGGGAGAGGAGGTGCAGTGCAGCCAGCTATGGCCCTTATGCCCTGCTCTGCTAGCACGTTAGCTTCAGAGAAAGACACCCTTCACGCTTAGGGCGACAGCGAGACAAGTGCAGTTCTGGCAGGAAGTGAAGAGTAGACTAGTTCTCAGAGGAAAATGGTTCCTTGCATATCTCAGCTTCTCGCTCCTTCCTCTTACAAAATGGCATGCAACACGGTCATGTGCGGGTTTGGGGTTTCTCAATGCTTCTCATTTGTTTGACCTTCCCTCTACCCATCTCATCCCCCTCGCCACCCACGTCTTTCCCCCCCCAGGCCCAATATAGTGACATACAACACGCTCATGTGCGGGTTTGGGGTTTCTCAATGCTTCTCATTTGTTTGACCTTCCCTCTACCCATCTCATCCCCCTCGCCACCCACGTCTTCCCCCCCCAGGCCCAATATAGTGACATACAACACGCTCATGTGCGGGTTTGGGGTTTCTCAATGCTTCTCTCTTCCCCCCCCCAGGCCCAATATAGTGACATACAACACGCTCATGTGCGGGTTTGGGGTTTCTCAATGCTTCTCTCTTCCCCCCCCAGGCCCAATATAGTGACATACAACACGCTCATGTGCGGGTTTGGGGTTTCTCAATGCTTCTCTCTTCCCCCCCCCAGGCCCAATATAGTGACATACAACACGCTCATGTGCGGGTTTGGGGTTTCTCAATGCTTCTCTCTTCCCCCCCCCAGGCCCAATATAGTGACATACAGCACGCTCATCGACACCTTGTAACGAGGTGACTTTTGAGTCGACTCAAAAGTCTCCTCCTCGCCACTCACGTCTTTCCCCCCAGGCCCAATATAGTGACATACAACACGCTCATCGACACCTTGTGCCGCGAAGGCCAGCTCGATGCCGCTCTGCAGGTGGGTATGCTGCACTGCACCACCACGGTATGCTGCACTGCACCACCACGGTATGCTGCACGACCACCACGGTTTGCTGCACGACCACCACGGTTTGCTGCACGACCACCACGGTTTGCTGCACGACCACCACGGTTTGCTGCACGACCACCACGGTTTGCTGCACGACCACCACGGTTTGCTGGTGTGAATACGGTTTGCTGGTGCAACACGGTGAGCTGGTGCACATTGTGCATACACCCATCTCATACATTTTGGTTCTGCTCCACCGCATGCATCAGCCACACCTCCCAACTTCACTACCCCCCATCCTCCATACCCCACCCCACTCGTCCCCCAGGTGCTGGACGACCTGTCATCGGGCGTGCTGGACGCGCATGTGGCACCCAACATAGTCACATTCAACACAATCATCAACGCCTGTGGCAAGGCGGGCCGCGCCCCCGACGCCGAGGCCACGCTGCAGGCCATGGAGCGCACCGGCATGGCGCCCGACGGCATCACGTTCACCGCTCTTGTCGACGCGTACGGCCGCACGGGAGACGTCGAGCGCGCGGAGGAGGCGTTTCAGCGCATGCTGCAGGCGGGCATCGCCCCGGACGTGTTCTCCTACACGGCCCTCATGGCTGCGTTTGGCCGCGCTGGGCTGTCCGATCGGGTCACGGAGACGCTGGCGGCCATGCAGCGTGCAGGCATGCCGCCCAACGAGGTCACGTTTCTCACCGTGCTGGACGCCCACGGCAAAGCGGGTAACTACGAGGAGGCTGAGGCCACGCTCGCCGCCATGGTTACGTGCGGGTACCGCCCGTCGGTGTACAGTTGGAGCTGCTTGATTGACGCGTTTGGGAAGGCGGGGCTGTATGCCAAGGCATCAGGGGCGTTTGAGCGCATGCAGGCTGAGGGGTGCCGCCCGAATCTGATCACGTATGCAGCCATTTTGTCTGCTTGTGCGCGGTGCGAGAAGTGGGAGGACGCGCTGGAGCTGCTGTACTGCCTGCAGAGGACTGGCGGCGAATGGGAAGTCGCCATGTGTCGCCTCGTGATGGCAGGCCCAGAGGAGGAAGGAGTCGAGTGTGCGAGCGAGGAGGAGGTGGTGGAGGGACTGGTGAGAGGAGGGGCGCGGGGAGGGGCGGGCAGAAGGGGCGAGAGGGCGGACGAGGGGTTGTGGGAGTCGGCAGGGCGGATGTTTGGTGCGTTTCAGGCGGTGCCGCTGCCCATGCGCCGCTCCTTCTACAACGCTCTGGCCGACGTGCTCTGGAGCTTTGGCATGCGGCGCCGCGCTGCGCGCGTGGTGGCGCTGGGCCGCGGGCTGGGCGTGTACGGCGGGGCCGATGACCTGCACAAGGAGGCGCGCGGTGCACGCAGGGGGGGCGCGGGGCGCAGGGAGAGCAGCAGCAGTGGCAGTGAGAGTGAGAGTGGGAGTGGTAGTGGGAGTGGCAAGCAGAGGGGTGGGGGGGGCGGCAGGGGCGGGGGTATGTGGAGGGAGGAGGGCGTGTGGAGTGTGGACTTACACGAGCACTCCATTGGCTCCGCCTGCGCCTTCCTCTTTCTCTGGCTCCGCGACCTGCGCACCGCCTGGCAGGTGCGCCAAAGCCAGGGGGCAGGGGAGAGGCTACAGGGGAAGGGAGATTGGGGAGAGTGGAGGGTGTAGATTCTGGAGAGGGAATTGCTCGTGCCATTGTGTGCTGGTGCCCACTGCCTGTGCATTGTGTGCTGGTGCCCACTGCCTGTGCATTGTGTCCTGGTGCCCACTGCCTGTGCATTGTGAGCGTACCTCTTCGTGCCTCCCCATTACGAGATAGCACCAACTCTCTCCTCTCTCGCTTCCCAATCCTCACCAATCCCCCATCCATCCGTCAAACTCCCTCCACTCTCTCATCTCCTTGCTCTTCCTCCCTGCGTGCCGCCCTCCATGCCCCCTGCCCCCTGCCCCCTGCCCCTTGCCCCCTGCCCCCTGCCCCTTGCCCCCTGCCCCCTGCCCCTTGCCCCCTGCCCCCTGCCCCTTGCCTCCTGCCCCCTGCCCCCTGCCCCCTGCCCCCTGCCCCCTGCCCCCTGCCCCCTGCCCCCGGCCTGCCTGTCTGCCTGCGCATGTCCCAGTGGCACAACGAGATCCCGGAGGCCATCGATATAGTCACGGGGTGGGGGCGTCACAGCAAGCGCAAGGACGCCACGTCAGACAAGCCAGCACAGGTGGCGCCCCTCAAGGCAGCGATACTGAGGGAGCTGCACCTCATGCGCTCTCCCTTCCAGGAACTTTCTGTCAATGCCGGTCGTCTAGTGGCGGGCGGGTGGGCGGCGTACTCGTGGCTGTTGCAGGAGGAGATGGGGGAGCGGCTGCAGCTCAGGGATGCGCCCCAGCCAGTGCCTCCTGGGGACAAGCCGTACCAACCACTGTAACAGACTCAGTAGATAAGGAGCAAACACCCGTTTTCAGGTGCTGTTATTTGTTGCTCAATGGGCTTTGTTGTATCCGTGAGCGATACGGGCACTTCCCCTTGTGCCCTAGATTTGTGCTCGACAAGTGAATGGGATGGTTGCTGGCATGACTGAAGCAGGCAACACTGTGACATGCTCCCACATGGCTGTGCCATGTACCGTTATTATACAATGCATAGATACCATATTCCAGCAACTAGTAAAATCAGCACAAATATATCTTCAGCTGTCATCGCGCCAGCTAGGAGGTGAGAGGGAGAGAGTGAGGCGGTCAGGAGTAGAAGCGGGAGAGGATGTTACGAATAGTAATTATTGAAGCATCGCTGTGCACTCCTTACCGCAGCAATCGAAGCACGCACTACCGAGAATGAAGACGAAAGGACGGAAGTGACGCGAAGGGTCGTACGGTTACGAAGGCGTCTGGACCGTTGGGCAGACAGCATCAGGCAGCAGCAGTGGCGAGGATTCTGCCCAGGCAGTTTGTAACCGTCTGGAGTCGCACGGTTGGGTTTCGCTGCAACAAGGGAATGTACCCCTTAAGAGTACATGGCTAGCTAGGTCGATTCGTATTCCTTCCTGTACTCTTATTTATACCCTTGTACTTGCATGTTTTAATTTATCTCAAGCATTTTACATTCACTCTGCTATTGAGGTGTGTGCGAACATGGCTCAGTTGTGTGCGAACCTTCGTGAGGTGATCCTATGCACGATCAACTTCTGATCGCAACATGGTATGAGAGCGACTCAGGAATCCTTCGCACCGCCACCACCGAAATCTTCGGAGAACGGAAAGTGGCGTCCGGCACACGCTCACGCGTGATAATGGCCGGAGGATCTGGTGGTCAGACGAATCTGACGGCTGAAGCGCAGACCAACCCGACTGCGACAAGCGAGGAAACGAAGACGATTGGAACCACCGCCCTCGCACAGATGCTTTAGCGACTCACCAGCCTGGAGCAACAACTCCAGACATTGCGGAACGGCAACGCGGGAACTTCTTCCCAACCCTCTCAACCGGCCTCGAACGGCCACAATACCGCCCCGCATACCTTCTCCCTTGACACTAATGGCTCAACTCCCAAAACTCCCCGTCCAAGCGAAGAAGCAATTCTCTCTTCGCAATCAAGGTTTTTGAGTATATAAAAAATAAAGACAAGTGTGTGCTTTGACGGCAGGGACTTCTATACGTGGAGCTTCGAGCTGGAGCTGCTGCTGCAAAACGCGCAGATCTTCCACTATTTCGACGGGAGCTACTCGGTGTTAGAATCACTAGCTAGGTGAGAATGTCGATTAGGTAAGGGGGAGGGGTACAAGACTATCGAGGGAATTTGGGTTGTACCCTCTAAGGAATAAACCCTACACAACCGAGAGTGAAATGAAGAGAAGTATATGTTTTGACACACCCCCATAGGTGAAGTAGGGGATAGCCAATCCTAACAGTGGTCACAAGACCAGTCAAGCAAGAGAACAAGCAAGGCAAAGCCCAGGGTGGATCTCAAGGACACCACACAATCTGAGCACAAGCAGGCGGCCACAAGGCCAGTTCACATGCAGAGTTATAATAGCAAGGCAGTACACAGATCACAACCTAGCAAGAGGAAACATGCAGGTATAAAGATCTATAGCAGTGTACAACAAGAGCAAGTCAAGCAACCAGCAGGTGAGGCAGAGTGGGCACAAGCCCAAGAGCAGTGCTGAAACGCTGATGATCATCAGACCCAAGGGCCTTGGTGAAGACATCAGCAGTGTTGGCCCGAGAGGCCACGTAAGCAAGGCGCAGCTGACCACGCTGCTGCAGCTCACGCGCAAGGAAGTAGCGAAGAGCAATGTGCTTCGTTCTGTGCTCCAGTCTTTGCTCGCGACACAAGGCAAGCATTGCCTTGTTGTCGACGTACAGAACTGGAGGAGAACGTGGCCGCTCCCCCAAGTCGGTCAGCAGGTAGGTCAACCAACGGAGCTCCTGTGCAGCCATGGCCCCAGCGTAGATCTCGGCCTCACAGCTGGAACCAAGCACAGAAGAAGAACGAGTGGACCTCCACGAGACAGAACCAGCGCCAAGACTGAAGGTGTAGCCCTGTGACGAACGCTGAGTCGCCTGGTCGTCAGCCCAAGAAGCGTCAGAGTGTCCTGTGAGGACCACGGGACCCCGTCCTCCAAGCACGAGCCCCATGCCCGATGTGCTGCACAAGTAACGCAGTACCCTCTTCGCAGCATCAAAGTGCACCTTTCGGTGCCTGCCGGGTGCCACGTAGCGAGCCAGAAGGCTGAGAGGATACGCAAGGTCAGGTCGTGTGCACGTCATCAGGTACATGAGGCAGCCCACAAGCTCTGGGTACGGACCACTCGGCTCTACGGACTCGTCCGAAGGTGGAGCTGAGAGCGAGTGGCCGGTAGCCAGAGGAGTGGGCTGTGGCGAGGAGTACGTGAAGCGGAAGCGCTGAAGGACCTGGTGCACCATGTTTGACTGAGTCAGGGTGATGGTGCGCCGTGCTCTGTCCCGGGTGATCTGCAAGCCAAGATAGCTCCGCAGCTCACCCAGGTCAGTGCAGGTGTGTCTCTCCTGCAGCTCCGCCTTCACTAGGGTCAGTGCCTCAGTGTCAGCAATAGCAAAAACCAAGTCGTCGACGTACACGAGGATGTAGAACGGCGGCAGAGTAGTGTCGGTGCGTAGAAACAACGACGGGTCAGCGTCGAAGGAGCAAACCCAAGAGCCGCAAGTGTCGTCCTCAGTGTGTCGTGCCACTCACGGGGCGCCTGACGCAGGCCGTACACTGGTCGCCGTAGGCTCCACTGGGTACCCGCAGGAAACGACCCAGTGAAGCCCTGTGGACGGCGCAACCAGATGGCCTCATGAAGGCTACCCTGCAAGAAAGCTGTCGAGAAGTCGAGGGAGTGCAGCTCGTAGTCACGCTGTGCTGCAACGTGTAGCAACACCCGAAGAGTGGTCATCTTCGGGGTGGGGGAGAAGGTCTGAAAGAAGTCGACCCCCTCACGCTGACTGAAGCCTCGAGCAACGTAACGTGCCTTGAAGGCAGGCGGAGAACCCGGCGGCCGCTTCACCATGAAAATCCACATGCCACTGACGATGTTCGCCCCAGGTGGGGGAACCTCGTCGACGTAGGTGCCTGTGGACTTCCAGGAAGCCATCTCTGCGTCCATGGCTGTCTGCCACTGAGAGGAGTACTCACCCGAAATCGCCTCCCTGTAGGAGCGCGGGGTGGGGATGTCAACTGCATCCAGGTCTCCCTCAGGGGCAAGCAGCATGGTCGCGTGATGGGGTGAAGCGGCAGCAAGGCACTCCAGCTCCTCCTGTCTGTCCTCAAGAACGTCACAGCCAAGGGCAGTACAGCCAAGAGCAGTCTCACCCCCGACGGACGGAGGACAGGCAGGGACAGGGTCAGAGACAAGACTCGCAAGGTAGTCTAGGCGGTACACAGCAGCAAAGTCAACAAGCTCAGCTACTAGGGCAGACGCAGCAGGAGACGAGAACGTAGGGTCCGTCACAACCGTAGCAAGAAGGCGAGTAACAGTCGGACTGGACGCACGAGCAAGGTCAGACGGAGGGTCAGCAACGTTAGGCAGAGAGGACGCAGGAGGTAACGGTAGGACAACACGCTGAGGAACAGAGGAAGGACGGAGTGTCATATCGTGAGTGCCGGGGACAACCGGAGCAAGCTGACGACGAACACGAGGAACACGAGCACGGACAGCAGCTCTAGGCTCAGGCTCAAGGTCAAAGCTAGACTCAGGCTCTCGACGCTCAGGGGTGGAAGCACGAGTCTCAGGCTCTCGACGCTCAGTCAGGGACTCTGACACCGCAGTGTAAGGAGAAGGAGCAGGCAGTGGGGAGTGTGGTAGCAGCGGTGGCTGTGACTGGTCCACCGGTGGACACAGCAACGGAGGAGTAGTACCTGCCACAGGGAAGCCAGTAGCACCTGGCTGAAGACTGAGAAGGTGGCGAAGAGCACCAGTAGCTCCACCAAGGCCTCCAGCACCTCCAGCACCTCCAGCCCCAGCAGCTCCAGCACCTCCAGCACCAGCAGCACCTCCAGTACCAGCAACACCAGCAGCTCCACGACCTCCAGCACCGGCAGCACCTCCAGTACCTCCACCAGGACCTCCAGCACAAGCAGCACCTCCAGTACCTCCAGCACCAGCAGCTCCACGACCTCCAGCACTAGCATCACCCCCAGGCTCTCCAGCACCAGCAGCACCTCGAGTACCTCCAGCACCAGTAGCTCCAGGTCCTCCGGTAGGAGCTCCGACGACACCAACACCAGACGGACTCGCAGCACCCCCAGAGTCAGCACCCGAACTCGCAGCACCCCCAGAGTCAGCACCCGAACTCGCAGCACCTCCAGAGTCAGGACTCTCGGTCTCAGCACTCGCAGGCTCAGTACCCTCAGTCCCAGCACCCCCAGGCTCAGTACCCTCAGTCTCTGCTCCAGTGTCCACAGCAGCAGGCTGCAGAGGCGGCGAAGACGGCAGAGGTGGGAACCCGGGGGGGGGGGGGTAGCCAGACGAGGAGAGCGGGCACCCCCAGACTCACCACCCCCAGCCCCAGCTCCAGAAGTCTCAGCTCCAGAGTCCACAGCAGCAGGCTGCGGAAGCGGCGAAGACGGCCGTGGCGGGAAACCCGGGGGGGTCTCAAAGCGAGGAGTGCGGCGAGTGGTCGCCGTGTCGTCGGCGACGGCGTCACCCCCCTCAGCTGAGTCAGAGGAGTCAGAAGAGATCTCAGCTGGCTCATCCAAGGGGGGTGGGTCTACTTGGGACACACCTGAGGGAGCAGGACCCTGTGGGGGAAGGGGGTCTACCGGGGGGGGGGGCTGGTACCAGGAAGAGGGGTGCAAGGGGGACCGGGTGGGACGCGTGCGGGTGAAGTCGGTAGTAACAGACCGACTCGTCGAAGGTGACGTCCTGAGAGGACAGAACACGACGCGAGGCAGGGTGGTAGAACTGCC